CTCCACATTCTCTTTCATCCTTGAGTAATAAATGCTGGAATGCTACTGTTAAATTTATCATGGCAGATAATTTTAACAGGGTAACAGTAAGTCCAGAATTAAGAATTAAGTCAAGAATTATGGCCTTCAGTTAAAAAAACAGTTTTTAACAGATATTTCTAGATTCAGACCTGGAAAGTACATGAAACAGTTTTCTGACTACTCAACTCTGTGAATTCATTGCCAAAAACTGGTCTGCAATGTCTTCAGAACAGCTGACTATTCATAAAATCCTCTGACTTAGCTGGCAATATATAAAAACTTCTCTCTATGTTAAAAGACAGTTCAGAAAAGAAAAAAAATTGATGAAACGGTATATCTATTTGAAATAAAAATGATTTTCTTATTTCTGCATAAGCAAAATATACCACTTATGGGGAAAAAAAGAAGTTATGAATAGAAATAGAATCAGGTCACAGTGCATTTCCATATTTGTCACTATATATTATTACTCAAACTGTGTTTTTACCTCTTTTATAATACTTGTCACTCTTCCCTGTACTTTAGAAAGCAGTTCATCCTCCTCTGTTATATTCTTTGCTTCTTCAAGGTGCTTATCTCATCTTTATCTTTGAACATACTTCCTGTACCCAGTCCCTTTTCTGGTACCAGTTTCTGTTCTCCTTGGGATAATGTCTTCACAGATGGGCCATGAATATTTATGAGATTAAAATGAACAGTTCCCAATCAATCCGAAAATTTTTGATCCATTTGTACAAATTATTTAAATATTCCTTTCCCGACTGAAGTAGTGAGACTTCTAGATTAGGGCTCACATTTACCCTCTAAACGTATCAACACCAATAGGATGCTAATTTCTTCTAAACCAAAGCTCTTCCTTTCTTAGAACTCAGTGTCTGGCCGTGACTACCAGTGTCACTGTGGTCCGCCTCAACTCAGCCCAGGTAACATACCTGTTCTGATTGTCCTTATAACAGCTCTGTTCATCCCAAATTTTACTTTAACAGGCAGTAACCTTGATGAGAAAACATTCATTTCTTTAGTAAGCTAACGGGCACAGAAATTGAGAACTCTTTGCCATGGGAAGTGATGGTGAGATGAGTCATATGAAGAAATTCATTATTACAGTGTCCATGCTCCAAACCAACCATGGTGTCATGTCTTCTTGGTGTTTGTTTTGCCTACTGCCTCATTTTTTTCCTTCCTCTTTTCTTTCTTACTCCTTTTTCTCCATTTATTTCTTTTCTTCACTCTTTCACTTCTTCATGGGAAAAGCCATTCCAGATCCTTCAAGTTGTGGTTTGCCTTTACAATTTTTATTTACTCACAAGTTGATATGATGGAGGGGGTGTGAAAGCTTTTTTTTGTCAATTTTTAAAATGTTTATTTCACTATATTTTGTTATTTTTATATTCAGAGTCTTTGATAGGTCTAAATAGAAAGAAAAATATACACTTTAAATTTATATTTACATTGAAACTTTAAAGAAAATTTTTTCTAAGTTGTCTTTGGGTTATGTATCCAAAAAGCTTGAGACACCCTCCATTAAAAAAAAATATTAGAGAGATTTCTGTAATATTTATTAGGAGTATCCCAAACCTCTTTATTAAGATTGTTTTTCTTTGCAATTATATGTCTTCTGTGTCTGAGGTTCTCAGTGGAATCTATTGTTCCCCACTCAGTGCCCACCTCATCTCTGAAGGGATGTGGCTGTGCTGCAGCTCTACTGTACGGGGTCCGGGGAGTACATGTATAGAATTTTTAAAATGTAAACATTGTGTATAAAAATTATGTCAATCTACTTAACACATCCATCACCTCTCCAACTTATTTCTTTGCATTTTGGGGGAGGGATGAGACAGGGTCTCACTACACAGTGCAGGCTGGCCTTTAACTCACCATGTAGTCCAGGTCTGCCTTGAACTTGTGGTGATCTGTCTGCTTCAGCCTCCCAAGTGCTGGGATCACAGGCGTGCACCACCATGACTGGCTCCAGCTAATTTGTAGTGAGAATATTAAATATCTATTCTGCTAGTAACTTTAAAATACAAATTATTAACTGTGGACACAGTGAGTTGCAATCGATCCCTAAAACTTAATCCTCCTATGTAGAAACTTTATGCTCTTTGACTAGTGTCTCCCTTTTCCCTCTTCTCATCCTCCCTATCAGTCTCTACCAACCACTTTTTACTAATTGTTTCTATAATATTGACTTTTAGATTTCACTTATAAAAAAATCATATAGCGTTTGTTTTTCAGTGCTTGGCTTATTTTACCTAACATAATGTCCTCTCATTTTATCCATGTTATCATCAAGGACAGATCTTACTTATTTTAGAGACTAAATAGTGTTCTACTATATATATGTATTACATTTTTTAAATTTGTTTATCTATTGATAGACATTTAAGTTGCTACCATACCTTGGCTGTTCTGAATAATGCTGCAAATACAGAAGTTCAAATAACTCTTTGGCCTACCAATTTCAATTCCTTTGAATATAAAACCAGACATGAGATTTGTAGATTATATAGAAATGCTGTCTTTAGGTTTTTTTGGGAACCCCCATATTATTTTTCAAAATGACTGTACAAATTTATATTCCCAAGAGAACTCCGTGATTGCCTTTTCTCCATATATTTTCCAACCCTTGTTATCATTTGTCTTTTTGATGATAGCCATTCTAATAGGTGTGAGGCAATCTCTTATGGTGGTTTAAATTTATATTTCTTTGTTGATTAGAGATTTGGAGCATTTGTGAAAGTATATTTTCATTTATAGTTTTTCTTTTGAGAAACGTGGGTTCACATTGTCCATTTTTAAATCAGGCTGTTTGTCCTCTTGCTGATGATTTGCCATTAATTCCTTCTGTATTTTGAATATTAACACCTCATTAGCTGTGTGGTTTGCAATTAAATATTTTCTCCCAATATATGGGCTGTACCTTCACAGTTTTATTTCTTTTGCTGTTCAAAAACTTTTAGTTTCATGCAATGTCAGTTGCCTATTTTTCTTTTTATTTCTTTGGAATAAGAAATCATTGGCCAGACCAATACGGTGGATCTTTCCCCTGTATGTTTTCTTCTAGTAGTTTCACATTTAAGCCTTTGTCCATTTTTACCTCACTCTATATATGGTGAGAGATAAAGTTCCTTTTCATTCATCTGATAGTAAATGTACAATGTCTTCAGCACCATCTATTAGCAAGATTTCTCTTTTTCTATTTTGTGTTCTTGGTGCTTTTTTGGAAAAATCAATTAACTGTGAATCCTTGGGTTTATTAATGGGCATTTTATCCAGTTCCATTGGTCAATGTGTCTGTTTTTATGGCAGTACTATGTCATTTTGATTGCAATGGCTTCATCACATATTTTGAAATCAGAGCTTATGATGCTTCCTGCTTTGTTCTTTTTGCCCAAGATTACCTTGAACATTTAAGGTCTTTTCTGTTTTATACAAATTTTAGGATTAAAAAATAATTTTAGCATTTCTTCCTAATTCCATCAGTGAAATCAAGTTGTTAGCTTAAAATCAACCTCAGTAACAGCTACTCAAACCACAGAAATTAACAAGGGCTATAAATAAATGCTTTTTCTTTTTTTCTTAGAATTGGTTGTTAAGTATGTCCAACCATCCCCTGTAAGGCTATGCCTGGTCTAGGTGTCTTCCGTATGCTTTCTATGCACTCATCCAGCCTCATCAGCTATTATGCATTAGTCTCTGGGGAGAGGAGAAGCAATCACCTTTGTCCCAGGTCTCACATATGGCTTGGTTATTAATCAAGTATTCATTTGGCTTAGCTTCCTTTGTTCAATCCATGCTTTTAAGTGTGGATGTGTAGGCTCTAGACAGAGTAAGAGATAAGGGAGCTAAAGCCTAGAGTGATTAATGACTTCTAAGGTTATAATTCTAGTTATAGGCAAAGCTGGGACAAAAATCCAGGTTTTCTGAATTCCAGTTAGGTTTTGTTGTTGTTATGCAACTCTGTCTCCCATAATGTAAAATATCCTGTCATAAATGTTCCATTGCCATGAGTTCCAGAAAGCATTGCATGCTACTGAATAAAATGCTCTTTAAAATTAATCTCTACTTCTTTTTAAGTCTGAAGAATAGGTGTATCAAGAAAAACAGAAAGTATAAAAATATTGGTCAAAGACAAAACCTATAATAAATTAACCATGTTAAGAGAGACATACTTTTAAAAAATTTATCATTGTTGCCTGCCAACTCTTAAAGGCACCTTTGGATCTCAGTCTCATGACTTTCTACCAAAATAACACAAGTTTTGTAGTAATTTGAATGGTGTCTTCTGACTTGTTAAATTGTCTTTAGTGAGAAGTAGAATGATAGTGGGCAGAGCAGAACCAGAATGCTAGCTCCTTTGAGAAGAAACTACCACATAATGTGCACCTGTGAAGAGGTTGCCAAGAAAATGGCTAGAATCCGGTGAAATAGATCTACCGCCACCCTCTCCTCAATCCCTCTAGAAAGAAAGTCAGTGTCTCTCATTGTTTAAGAAGAAAAGGGAGACCTTAGAGACAAAGCCAACACAAGATAAATAAGCGCTCTGCCAGGTCTAAATCAATGTAAGGGTCGGACAAAGGAAGCATGAAGAGCTCAGGAGGCATCATTTTTAGAGGGTCCAAACAAGATAACTTGCCTTGCAGAAGGGTTTTTGGGCACCCCTGTAATTGGATAGGTTTGGCCGCCTGAAAGAGGGGCTCCTGGTAGTTCCTGATGAATGCTCTCCTTGTGCGCGGGGGTGATATAGCATGCTGCTGAATAAATACAACACAGGGATGGGAAGGTGATAACTACCAGCCTCAGCAGAGAGAGAGTGTGAGAGACAGCCTATAAATACACCGGGGGTCAATGGAAGGGGTTTCATTCTCTCTGCACAGGACTGCAGATGAGGTCTGACAGGGCAGCATTACTTCATTAATGCATCACAATGGTGAAGAGCGCCTGAAGGGCAGAGGAGCAACAGCAGCAGGCTGTCACCTAGGCTGCAGGCTGCAGCGATCAGGAAGCCCAGCCTGGAAGAAAGAGAATAATAAACTTTTGCAGACATTGTAGGCTTCAGTTTCCTCTTCATTCCTCTTCATTCCTCTTCAGTGTAGCATTTTCCTTCTCCTCTTCTTTCTTGCCCTCCTTTTCTCCCTCTCTTTTCTCTCTTTCATTACTCCCTCCAATCTTCCATTTCTAGTGTTCTGCTAGTTCTTGAAAGGATCTCTTCTCTTTAAGGGCAGGGCATTTATAATAAAAGAAAAAAAGGCAACCTAGATGCTGACATGAAATAGAGAGCTTTTCACTGCACGACAGTGTTAGGACATGAACACCCCTGTTAGAACAGAGAGGAGAGAGTCCTAAGGGTAGGGAAGGTCAATGGTTCAGAGGGGAAAAAAAACCTTTCTAGGGAAATCACCTTTAAACAACCCAGAAAGATGAAATAAAGCTATTTTCCTCAAGTAGTTTTCTCTTTTATTTTGGGAAATAAACGAATGTCCCCAGGCACTTCTTGTTTCTCTGCTGTTTGTGGCTCTGTCCCCACTCTGAGGGGCTTCCCTTTTCTTGTTGCTAACAGATATTCATTCACCCCCTGAAATTATATTTCTTTTTTACAAGGTGAAAGAACATAATTCTTACTCATTCCTCTGCCCAGCTTCTTTAAGCTCTGACCAATTCTGGCTGAGTCTGACAAATGGAGCTGCAGCCCTGCTACTCTGGTCGTTCAGTCATCTGAACCATGGCTTCTGGCTGCTGCATTATCAATCTGACTCTGACCTGTCCAGAGAAATGGAAAGAATGAACAATTGTGAAATAAATTTGGTAGTCCTTTTTGGCACTTTCCTTCTCTTCTATGTTCAGTTAGTGCAACACTATGACTATTTATTTTGTCTTTGCAATTTTCAGGAAAGTGAGAAGGTCAAGGAGGGGATTTAAGGCAAACTGTACTGTCTTTCCCTGGATGCTCTGACTTTCATCGCAACATCTAACTCAGTAATGTAAGTCATTACGAACAATGTATTATGCACAAGTATTATAATATGTATTACACATTACCATTCTTTGCCACTTATTTTATAAATAGAAAAAGATAAGCAGACTCAAAGTATTTAGAAACAAGGTTTGTTTCTAAAATTAGAATCTTGCAGGCTGTAAGAAGCTCATTTTTCTTGACTTGCTAACTTATACCAGGTTTGTATGTTTCACAAGTTAAGTGTAGCCTTAATGAAAAAAAAAATTGTATACTGTTTTCAGTTTCGGTTTCAGAGATCACTTACAATAATGCTAGTTTAGGCAAAACTTTAAAAACAGTGTTTGAAAACACACGTCCACACATGATTCCATGAGTCTAGGCATGAATTCGGCAAACTAATGTTGAGCCAATTTAGAAAAAGTGTTTTGTAACTTGTGGTGTTTTCTTTTGATTTGAGATCTGAACAATTCAGCAACATAATCATTGAGAAAGAAAGAATTTTGAATGGTTAGGTTTGGGTTTTGTTTAGTTCTTATCTATCTCTGTTGCTAGCTTAAGAACTTCTAATGGGAAGTGTCAAAATTATTCATCCTGATAGCCTCAAGGGGGCCTCCTTTGTTGTTTGTTCATAAAAGCAGAGGATGATTGTTAGTTGAATAAAATCTAGACCCTATTTTAAGCATTATAACTTTAAAAACAATACTGAGGTATATGTGGAATCAGAAGGGAGAGCAGGCAGGAAAACTCTTAAAAGTATACTTAACTTGATAATAAACTTAGTTTTAGACTTTTATTCACAGTTCCTTTTTATTTATGATTATTTAGAAGAAATATATGTGAAATCACTAAAAAAGCAAAGTCAAGTTAGGAAATTAAAAGACTCCTTAAGAAAAACAAATGGACAAGGATACTCACCAGGAAGCAAAAAGAAGAAGAAGAAGAAGAAGAAGAAGAAGAAGAAGAAGAAGAAGAAGAAGAAGAAGAAGAAGAAGAAG